TCATTCTCTTCTCTTCCATTCCATATTTTCTATTCTATCCTATCCTCTATTCTATTCTATCCTATTGTATCCTATTGTATTCCATATTTTCTCTCCTCTCCTCTCCCTCATTCTCTTCTCTTCCATTCCATATTTTCTATTCTATCCTATCCTGTCCTGTCCTGTCCTGTCCTGTCCCATTCCATATTTTCTCTCTCCTCTCCTCTCCTCTCTCATTCTCTTCTCTTCTCTTCCATTCCATATTTTCTATTCTATCCTATCCTATCCTATCCTATCCTATCCTATCCTATCCTATCCTATCCTATCCTATCCTATTCCATATTTTCTCTCCTCTCCTCTCCTCTCCCCTCATTCTCTTCTCTTCTCTTCCTTTCCATATTTTCTATTGTATTGTATTCTAATTCTATTTCAATTCTTTCTAATTCCAATTCTAATTCTAATTCTATTCCAAAGCTGTCATGTTTAGAAAAAGGGAACAATTTCGTAACCTATTTTAGCGGCTTTGCCGTACACTTTTAATAAATTTTGCTGCTAAATTGAACCATTTTCGGGGAGGGGGGGTTACCTTGCGTACTTAATCATAAATGGATTAAACTGGCGGAATTTCCTCGAAAACAAACCAAGCTGAACATTAGTTGACCTTAGCGGCTGAGAGAAGCCAGGGTTAAAGTCTTAACTGGGTTAAAACCAGGGGTGAAATGCTCCCGGTTCGGACCGGATCGCCCGATCCGGTAGCAATGGAGGCGGGTGGTTCAGAGAACCGGTAGCAAAAATCTCTCCCCCTGCCCCGCCATGCCCAGCTGAGCCGAGTGATCATCAGAGGCTTTTTTTTTTACTTTTAAACGCATTTTTTTTTACAACCTCTTCGGCCGAAAAAATGCTTTTAAAAGTAAAAAAAAAAAAAAAAAGCCTCTGATGATCACTCGGCTCAGCTGGGATTGTCAAAAGCTTTTCAGAGGTTGTAGAAAAAAATGCTTTTAAAAGCCTCTGATGATCCCAGCTGAGTTGCCTGATTGGCAGAGGCTTTTTTTCTTGTAAACGCCTCTGACGATCCAAGTTGAATTGCCTGATCGTCAGAGGCATTTAAAAGAAAAAAAGCCTCTGCCAATCAGGCAACTCAGCTGGGATCATCAGAGGCTTTTAAAAGCATTTTTTCTACAACCTCTTCGCCAAAGAGGTTGTAGAAAAAATGGTTTTAAGAGTTTAAAAAAGAAAAAATGGCCACGCCCACCCAGTCATATTACCCCCCCACACCAAGCCACGCCCACATAACCAGTAGATTTCACCACTGGTTAAAACAGGCTGCCAAATGCCTGCGATTCGTCCGTTGATTTTTCTGAAGCGGAATTGAATATTTCGCCGCCGAAATATTTTTGCCAATCAGCATTCAACCCACCTTGGCAATACAGGTAGTTCTCCATTTACAACCATTTGTTTAGTGACCAAGTTACAACGGCACTGAAAAAGCGACTTACGACCGTTTTTCACACTTACGACCGTTCCCGCATCCGCGTGCTCACATGATCAAAATTCGGACGCTTAGCAACTTGACTCATAGTTGTTGGAGACCCTCCAACAAGCAGAATCAATGGGGCAACCAGATTCACTCAACGACCATGTTATTAACTTAGCAACTGCAGTGATTCGCTTAACAACGGTGGCAAGAAAAGGCCGTAACAGGGAGCAAAAATTCACTTCACCAATGTTTCACTTAGCAACAGAAATGTTGCACTCAATTGCGGTCGTTAAGTCGAGGACTACCTGTAGAGTAAAAAAAAAAAAGGCTCGGATATTTCGGGAAGGCATCCCAAAATCGGAACGTCACTTTTCATTCCATGTGGCGTCACTATGCAAGACAACCTACGATGGGGCATTAATTGTTCTACCATTTTTTTGTTGTTTGTTTGCACCAAAGTTGCAAAATTCTGTTTTAAATGTTGAGCGTTTCTTCTTCCAGTTTTATTTTGGCTCCTCATGAGGACTAGAAACTCATTTTTTTAAAAAAATGGAATTCTCGGACGCCTAAATATCTTGCCTCGTTCCCTCCTTTGCTGACCGTTTTGCCCTGATTTTGTGTATCTGTTTTGCATATTTCAAGAGCGAATCTTCGGGTGGGTTTTTTTCCTCAGTTTCCCATTTTGTTGGCCTGTTGGAGAGAGTTGAGGTAAAAATTTTGAGAGGGGATGGAATCTAGAACAGTATTTCTCACCGTCGGCCATTTCAAGATGTCTGGACTTCAATTCCCAGAATTCCTGGCTGGGGAATTCTGGGAGTTGAAGTCCAGCTTGAGATACAGTAGTGGCCAAAATTGTGGAAACCCTTTTGGGGAAAGTGTATTTTTGAGGTTTGAATTTTATTTTTGAGCTTCAAGATAATCCTATTCCATTGCTGGAATGGCTTGGGAATAGCCCAGACCTGAACCCAAGATTGAAAATCTAGAGAGCCGACAAAAGAAACTGGTTAGTCAGAAGCGACCCAGCAATAAACCCCAGTTAATAGAAGCCATCATTCAATCATGGTTTCACATGGTAACAGCTGTAGAACTAAAAGATTGGGTTCCCTCCATGGGAAGACATTGTAAGGCCGTTATTCATGCTAAAGATTACCCAACTAAGGATTAACTGACATAGGGATCATTTTTGTATCTCTCTTTTTTTTTTTCTATGGGGATCATTTTTGTAGCTCTCGTTTTTCCTACGTGTTTCCCTTTTCTTCTTTATACTGTCACTGCTACTCTAATAGCAAATCCTTCATCAAAGGTATCGCATTACATTCTTGATTAAATGATCTTTCCATCGATATATAATTTTATGGTACTACTTCCAAAAGAAAAGAAAAGAAAAGAAAAGTGGTGTTATTAGCTAGTTTTAGAAAATACACTTTTCCCAAAAGGTTTCCACAATTTTGGCCACTGCTGTATATCGACATTACAATACGTCATGGGGGACAATCAAACTGACAGACCAAAGGAAGGCAGGGAGGCCAAGACGTTCATTCAATGACCTATAGGGGGCTACGGTGGGGCAAACTCTGCCCCTTGCCTGGAGTTCGATCTTGACTGACTCAAGATTGACTCAGCCTTCCATCCTTCCAAGGTCGGTAAAACGAGGACCCAGATTGTTGGGGGCAAGACACTGACTCTCTAAACCGCTTATAGAGGGCTGTAAAGCGGTATATAAGTCTTAAGTGCTGTTACTATTCTATTCTATCCTATCCACTCACTGCCGACTGCTGGCAGTTCGATCCTGACCGACTCAAGGTTGACTCAGCCTTCCATCCTTCCAAGGTCGGTAAAACGAGGACCCAGATTGTTGGGGGCAAGACACTGACACTCTAAACCGCTTATAGAGGGCTGTAAAGCGGTATATAAGTCTTAAGTGCTGTTACTATTCTATTCTATTCTATCCACTCACTGCCGACTGCCGGCAGTTCAATCCTGACTGACTCAGTTTGACTCAGGCTTCCATCCTTCCGAGGTCGGTAAAATGAGGACCCAGATTGTTGGGGGCAAGACGCTTATTCTGTAAACTGCTTAGAGAGGGCTGTAAAGCGGTATATAAGACTAAATGTTATTGCTATTGTATCCTATCCTATCCACTCACTGCCGACTGCCAGCAGTTCGATCCTGACTGACTCAAGGTTGACTCACCCTTCCATCCTTCCAAGGTCGGTAAAACGAAGTCCCAGATTATTGGGTGGCAGGGCAAGATGCTGATTTTGTAAACAATTTAGAGAGGGCTGTAAAGCGATGTATAAGTCTATTGCTATTGCCAAGCCCCTGAATCATGATCATGTGACTGCAGGGCCGCTACAACGGTTGTAAAACGTGAGGACCGGTTGGCACAATTTTCAGCACCATCCTAACTTTCGCAAACAAATGATTATAATGCAAGGGCTACCTGTATTCTCATTCTGAAAAATTCCAACTGCGCGGTGATGGAGATATTTCACATACGCCCCCTCCATTCGGAACAAAAAACGGCTGCGCATTCAGAAACTTAGAAGAGACCTAGAGACTTGGAAATTTACAGACTCATTTGCAACGCCTTAAATGAGGAATTAGTAGGGACACGGTGGCTCAGTGGCTAAGACGCTGAGCTCGTTGATCGAAAGGTCGGCAGTTCAGTGGTTCGAATCCCTAGCGCCGGGTAACGGGGTGAGCTCCCGTGACTTGTCCCAGCTTCGGCCAACCTAGCAGTTCGAAAGCACGTAAAAAATGCAAGTAGAAAAACAGGGACCACCTTTGGTGGGAAGGTAACAGCGTTCCGTGCGCCTTTGGCGTTTAGTCATGCCGGCCACATGACCACGGAGACATTTTCGGACAGCACTGGCTCTTCGGCTTTGAATCGGAAATGAGCACCGCCCCCTAGAGCCGGGAACGACTAGCACATATGTGTGAGGGGAACCTTTAGCTTTACCTAAATGAGGAATTAAAACTGAAACAAAACCCCCAAATTTCTACACCCCCCCCCCCGAGTTTTTGGGGTTGTTGTTTTTTTGTGTTTTTTTTTGGTATCTCAAATCATCTCGCCTTTGATCTTTTCTTTTCCTACGAGATGTTTTTTCTTTAATATAATTTTTATTTTATTTTTATTTTTTGAAGTCATTCCCCCAACCTTCCCACCCCCTCACTTTAAATACACAACAGAAAGACAATTTTTTTTTCTCCCCCCCAAGTCTGGGGTGTGACGTTGTGGGGGTGAAGGAGAGTTGAGAACAGGGCGGGTAGTGACGGATCAGCTGTTCTTCCATTTAGCTTTCCTTAACTTCCCTCCCGCTCGTGTCGTTTGTTTGGTATCTGTGTAAGGGCGGTGGGTTTTCAATTTTTTTGAGCCTCCTTCTTTAAACCCACAAGTTTCCATCTTCATCCAGTTCTTAAAATTCACGTCCATCTTTGTCCGCTGGGGAAGGGAATAGAAAATACGCCGCGCGGGAGGGGAATCAAAAGATCGCGGGTCCCCCTTCCCAAAATAAATGTTACAAAGGCAGGAAAGAACGTTGAGGGGTTAATTTTTTTTTCTTTTTACTCCTTCATCTTATGTCTTTTTTTAAAAAAACAAACAAAAAAAATTATTTCCAGTTTGCTTTTTATGACTCTTTTGTTGGTGGGTGTTCTCTCTCTCTCTCTCTCTCTTTTTTTTTTTTTGGTTATTGTATAGAAGTTTTTTTTTATATTTTTAAGAGCTTTGGATTCCTAAAAAGGGTTTTTTATGTATATTTTTTTTTCATTTTTTGCAAGGTTTGTCAGCACACACGGCGTCGGCGTGTTTTGACGAGAGTCAGTCGTTCAGTGAGTTCTCTCTCTTTCTCTCTCTCTCTCTCTCTCATTTTTTTTTTGTGTTTTTTTTTAATTTTTATTTTCTTTTAAAGCCATCGGAGTTAGGTTTCGTGTCGTTTTCCCCCGCGCCGAGACAGAACTCAGGAGGAAAAAGACAGTTTGAGGTTGCTGGGTTTTATTTGGTTCCCCAGGGCAGGAAAAGACCCAGCTGGGGGGTGGGAAAAAAGGAAGAGGAGAGAGACGAGAGAAATAAAATAAAATAAAATAAAATTACGGGAAAGAGAAAACTCTCGCCCTGTTTGGTTGGTGATCAAATCCATCAACAGTTCAGGAATTTGTCCATCCGTCCTTGACAGTTCTTAATATACAAAAAATGGTCAGCACATGCTTTTTTTTTTTTTTGCTTTTTTTTTTTTGAGGGTCGGCGTTGGTTGGTGTCGGGGGACTGAATTTCTCACTTTTAATCCTTCCCCCGTCTTAAATTTCATCTCCTCCGGTTTATCTTTTATTATTATTTTTCTTGTCCATTCTTTCTTTGCTTTCGTTTTTGGCCTCTTTTTTTTTTCAGTCGGTAACACGGTAAAACGAGTGGAAGGTTAAGTGTGAAGAGAAGGAGCTTTTGTGGGAAGGGGGCGGGAGGATGTATAGGTGTGTAAGTGTGTGTGTGTAAGTGTGAGAGAGGAGACTTTTGAGTGTAGGATGGACGTCAAGATTGGCCAGCAAGTGTCTTCAACGGGGCGGGTGGAAGAGATCAGATAATTAGTAGTGCAGGTGGGTTGAGGGAAGGTTTGGGGCCACCTGCGGTAGGAGGAACAAGGAGTTATGGGACACGTGAGTGAAGAATTTTGGAACACCAATGTGAAGAGGGGTGACATAGTTTTGATATTATAAAAAGTGTGGGGAGCATCATCAGAAAATGTTAAAATTTAGGAGGCATCTTCTTGAGATGTTTGTGGCAGGTGGGAATGTGGTTGAAGACGTACGTAGAGGGACCCGTCGTCAGCACAGGAGGTGGAAGACTCAGGAATACAGAAATAGGTGGGTAGGGACTCTGGAGGAGGTCCTGAGCTGCCGATCTCATTGGATCTGGCCACAGGATCTCATGATCTGGGAGGCGGGGAGAGGGGGGGAAAGGTAGGGAATTAGCATCAGTGGGTCCTTAAGGGAGATGCCTGAATGGGATGAAGGACAGAGCAGTTCAGTGTGAAGAAAAGCTAGTCGGAGAACATCTGCAACAGCCAGTGTTGAGCTGGGTAGAGAAGATGAAGCTTAGTAAGGACCAAGGCTTCCCCAATGGATGGGTTGCCTTTGGCTCAACCTCTGGTCATCCTGTGGAAGCAGAGTGACATTTGGAATAAAAATTGGGGGTGGGGACTCGGGCCCTTTGAAGTCAGCTGGGGAGGTGACACGAGGGAACCCCTTCTCGAGAAAGCTTCCTGGCTGGCAGTGAGAAATGGGGGAACCTGGATCTGAAATGGACCTTGAAGAAGGATGTTGGGTGGAAGCAGAGGGGTGGTCCTCGCGGGGGCGTCCACCCACCCACAGGTTCATTCGCTAGTCAATCTGTCTCCATTGATGGCAGTACAGCATCCATCTCTATAAAGCTAGTAGTGTCGTAGAGGTAGCGTTACTTTTTGGATTGGAGTCCGAGTGAGGTAATTTGGATTCCTCTTTGGCAAACACCGATGCGGTTGCTGTGGTGGAGCTGGCCTTGCGCCGGTGAGCGCTGGAGCGCAGGTGGGCTCCCAGAGCCTCCCGGCCGCTCACGAGCACCTCGCAGGCCAGGCAGTGGTAGGTGCACACGGGCACGCGCAGTGGAGGCGGCGCTGCCGGCGCCTGGCGCCCAAAGTAGCAGAGCGCGGCTTGATGGGCGACAGCCGCCCCCTCGCTCTCGAAGGCGGCCTTGCACTGGCGACAAAGGTACTGGTGGGTCACGTCGACTGTAGAGATGCCGGGGGCCTCGGACACCTCGACGGGGGGCTCAGGTGTGGGTGTCGGGAGCAAGGGGCTGGGCAGCAGCCCCATAAGTGTCTGAGGTATGACAGGGTTCATGGGGAACAACCCCTTCTTCATGCCGTAGAGTTGCTGAAAATACGCCCCGGGCAGTTGCGCTCCGAAAAGAGAGGGGGCGGCTGCGGCTGCAGTAGCCGCTGCTGGCAACGGGAAGGGCAGGAACTGGCCTCCCAGCAGGGCCGGCACTGCAGCCTTCAACGTCTTGAGGTTCTTCAGCGTGGCAGTGGAGGACAAGGAGGGTTCCTGGGCTGGATTTGAAGTCGGTTCGGCCTGACTGTCACTGGGAGCGGTCTCGGAAGCAGGAACAGGAGCAGGCTCAGTTAAGGGGCCGACCTGGCCAGATTCCGCTGGCAGATGCTGAGGTAAGGAGAGGCCTGGCTGGGAGGTGGCCAAAGGGGAGCTCAGGATTCCCGCCGAGGAAACAGGCGTGCCTGTTCGGGTGAGAGAAAAAAAGATGAATCGAGGGGGGCTTCTGCCTCTCTTTGGGAATGTGTGTCCTTTCCAAACGCCTCCCCCCCGGTTGAAATTGTAGAACCATCTTCCTGCCTTTGCGAGTTGACCCATTCCCCTCCTCCAACCTCACCACTGTGTCCTCTGAAACGGGAGTCCACCTGCAGCCCTCAATGCAAAAATGGAGCAGAGAGAATGGGAAAATTCCTCGGCTCTCTGCATATCCCCCCCTCCTCACAAAAAAGAGCGAGGAGGTAAAGGAAGGAAGGTATGAACATGAGGATTCATGAACCACAGAAGAAAACCAGGAAATAAAAATGCGGTCGGCCAACCTTCGAGGTCAAACGTGGGACCGGAACTTAGAAAGGGATTTGGGAAATGTCGGAGGACACTGTGGAACATCAGCGGTGTTCCTGGAAAGATCAGAACGGGGCGTTCCTACAGCAGGGAGGACGTCATACAGTAAGCGTACAATACAGTATGTTGCATAGTATGTTGTACAGTAAAACCAGGGGTGGGATTCTACTGGTTCGGACCGGTTCGGACAAACCAGTAGCTCCGACGATCAGCTGGGAGCGAACCAGTTTGCTCCGACGATCAGGTCGACCCGCCCACCCGCCCCTTCACTTTACTTACCTTTATCTTCTCAGCTGATTGGCGCGGTAGAGCAGATTGCCACACCTCAGCTATGTTACACCCAAGCGGTAACACAGAAGGTTAGAATTTTTAAAACTCTGCACGTGATCCCCAAACCGGTTGTTAAACCGGCAGCATCCCAGCCCTGAGTAAAACCCATCGTGCAACTCAACGCCAAGGCTCCCCACCTATCCTTGGATGCCCACCGTTCTACCATCCCACTCACCTGGCACAAAAGGGGGCTTGGTCCCAAGAGAAGATGGCATGGTTGTAGGAGTCACTGGCACACCCAGCCTGGTTGGGGAGGGTGCTCCTTTGTCCGACACCAGCTCGTAGCACTTGCTCTCGCTCTTGAGCTGGGATCTGATGGCCTCCTTTAGCCGAGCTAGGTGGCCGCGAGAAAAGAGGTGCCCACGACAGGAGACGTAGAAATCGTACTTGACTTCACAGTAGCGACACTCAGATTGAGTCTGAGCAGCGGAGGGGGCCTCATCGCCGCCACTGGTCCCGCCGGAAGCAGCCTTGGCCTTTTTCTCTTTCGCCCGCGCATTCTGAAACCACACCTGAATCACCCGTTTGGGGAGTCCTATCTCCTCCCCCAGCACCTCGCACTCCTGCATGGTCGGAGTACGGTAGACCTCATAACACGCCTTCATGATCTTCAGCTGGACACTGGACATCTGGGTACGATACCGTCTCTGCCCCAGAGAATCATGATACTCTCCAGAACCTCCATCCATCATTCGATTCCTCTGGCTGCCGGAGAAGTCCAGGTCAGCCGAAGAGGAAGAGGAGGAAGAATCGCTCAGCTCCCCTCCAGACAAGCTTCGGTCTTCGTGGTCCTTGGATAATTCTTCTTCAGCCATTTCTTCCTGGATCTGTGGTTCCGTGACAACATCTGGCTTAGTTAGAAGGGGCTGGAGGTTAATCACAGAGAGGTTGGGTGTGAAGGACCCATAATGAATAGGGGTCTCCCGTGGTTGAGGGTTGAACTTTGGGAAAGTGTTAAGTTGTGCTGGTGGGGGCTTGCTGGTTGGGGTGGTGGCACTGGTATTACACCGAAACTGGCCCTTTCGCTCACGGGCTCTTGTGTTCTGGAACCACACCTGAACGACTCTCTTTTTCAGCCCAACTTCTTCAGAGATGCAGTCGAGCATTTTCCGGGTGGGGTTCGAATCTTGCATGTACCAGCGGTAAAGTATCTCCAGTTGCTCGGGCAAAATGGTGGTACGTAGACGCTTGTCCCTGGGGGGTTCGTTATCTCCCCCGACAACGCTGGCCGTTTCACTTCCGGTGGGAGACAAAGTCCCATCTTCGTGTTTTCGCTTCTGTGCACGGGAAGGATCTGGTTGGACCAGGCGGTCGCCAAATGCTAAGGGAGTCATGTCGAGGGGAGGTTGAGGACCCATCGAAGCCAAGGGGGGCCCAGCTGCCGGCAGGTGACTAATGCGATGGATATTGAGGAGGTCACTGCTTGAGAATACAGCGGTGCACTGATCACAGGGATGGTTCTTGGAGACGTCTGGGGGTACAGAAGGGGTGGGCTGCTCTTCTTCCACGGGTTTGTCTCCAGAACCGTCTGTCTTCATATCCCCACCAGGTCCCAAGATTTCTCGTTTCTCGTCCCCTTCCTCTTCCTCCTCCTGCTCCTCCTCCTCAGGCCCTTCGTTCTCTTCCTCGTCTCCTTCCCCCTCGTCCAGCTGGTCATTGTAACACTTCTTCAGGTGGCGCACCAGCTCGAAGATGCAGCGGAAAGCCGTCCGACATTTTTTACAAGACGGCTGCGCGGTGGCATTTCCGCAGTTGCCCATGCTCGCTTCATTCCCGCCACTCTTTCGGGCTTTCTGGCGCGCGTTTTGGAACCAGACCACGATGACCCGATTGGGCAAGCCCAAAAGGGCAGACAGACGCTCCACCTCTCCATCTTTGGGATAAGCGCTCGACTCAAAGAAGGACTGCAGAGCCTGAGACTGGAACTCGGTGAATTTGGTACGAGAGAAACGCCGGGTTGAAGGGAAGCTCCCGCGGGCAAGATCCAGGACTCCCGACGATGCGCTCTTGCCTTCCTCTTCCTCCCCTCGAAACCAGAGAGATTTCAGGCATTCAGGAGGTACACAGGGAGTCTCGTTTTCTGGTGGAGGCACAACCACTGGCAAGGGTTGCATCAAAAACGGAGGACAGAGAGAGGGAATCTCCAGCGGGATGGGGGATTGCGTCACTGTGACAGTGGTATTCTCTATGACAGCAGTGGTGACGGTTGAAACTGCTGCCGCCGGAGTAGTGGTGACTGCAGTCGTCTCATTTGGGAGCACAGGCGGAGGAGGAGGATACATGCTGTCATAACTTTTCCGGAACTGCGCGGCGTAGCGATTGAGCGCCTCAAAAGGCAGGAACCGCCGGTGCACGTGCTCCTCATGGGTTTTCAGGATGAGCATGTTAGAGAACTGTTTCCCACAAGTGCCGCATTGCAGCTTGCCCACAGGGGGACGCAGGGGCACGGTAGGGGGCATGGTGGCAGCTTGTTTGCCCTCGTTGTACTGGATCACTAACTCGAAGCCGAAATTCTCCAGGAGGGCTTTGGCTGCTGTGCGAGAAACCTCATTCCCTGCTTGGCTTCCATCTCCTTCTTCCCCTTCAACCTCTTCGGCTGCCTCTGCCTTGGAGCTACTCACGGCAGCCGTGGGGGCCGGTTCTTCTTTGGGGGGCAGGGGTGGAAGCAGGACAGGTGACGGGGTGGGGAGGGTCAGGGTTGGCGTGGCTAAAGCCAACTTGGGGGCCACCTTCAGATCATGTAAGTAAAAAGGGAGCAGCAGCTGCTGTTGTTGCTGCTGTAGTTTCAGAAGGGATTCCGGCACCAGAGGAAAGGGGGGCAGCAGCGGTGGGGTGAAAAGGGGCGTAGGGAAACGAGGCAGTTCTGCCGCGGGTGGAGTGAGAAATGGGAGGGTGGACACCTGGACGCAGCTAGGGGCTTCGGTTTCCAGAGGGGTCTCGTTGGAGGGCTCCAGTTCAGCGGGGGACACGTCCGCCTTGCCGGCGGCTTCCATCTTGGCCACGCGGGAGCGAGTCTGGTGCAACACAGAGCGCATGTGGATCTCCAAGGTGGAGCTCTGGTTGTAAGAGACTCGGCAGGTGGTACACTTGTAAGGTTTGTCCGAAGAGGGCTGGAGAGCCCCGGGAGCGCCGGGTTCCCCCCGAGAGGACACGGACGGGTCCGCCGAGGCCTTTTTCATCTTGTGGAGGTGGGACACCGAATTGTAATGCACCAGCAGGATGTTCTTCTGCGTAAAGGACTCTTTGCAAACGGTGCACTTGTAGGGACGGGCGGGATCCAAGAATTTGTCCAAGGCGAAATTGGTGGCCTTGCGGTAGGACAGCGGGTGCCGGGAATCCGGATTAAGCAAGATGGGCGGAGAGGACTCGGGGGGTTCCGCGAGGACAGGCGCTGGTGGCGGCTGCTCTTCGGGGCTGAGGTTTGGATGCAAAGGCTCCTCCTCTTCCGGCTCTTGAGGAGTGACGGCGGGAAGGGGAGGAGGAGGAGGAGGAGGAAGTGGAGAGGCAGGAAGTAGCTTTTCCGGCTGTTCCTTAGGAGGTGGGGAGGCAGCGACCGAAGGTGGGGGCGTTTCGGGGGAAAGTACCGGTGGCGGGGAGGCTTTCTCCTCTATGGCTGGTGCTGTTGAAAAGAGAAAGGAAGAGAGGAAAGAGTTACAGGACTATATATATATATATATATATATCCCTACGGAAGGGAGTCAGTGTTGGCTAGTGGTGAAGACAACATGCTAGAAACCAGGAGACTGGGAATTCTAGATCCATCTGAGGAATGAAAGGCAGCTGGGTGACTTTGGGCCAATCAGCGAGGGACATTGAGTTCTAGTCCCGCCTCAGGCATAAAAGTGGCTGAGTGACTTTGGGCCAATCACCAGGAGACTGGGAGTTCTAGTTCCGTCTGAGGCGTGAAAGCCAGCTGGGTGACTTTGGGCCAATCAGCAAGGGACATTGAGTTCTAGTCCGCCTCAGGCATAAAAGTGGCTGGGTGACTTTGGGCCAATCACCAGGAAACTTCTAGAGCCGTCAGAGGAATGAAAGGCGGCTGGGTGACTTTGGGCCAATCAACGAGGGACATTGAGTTCTAGTCCCCGCCTCATGCATAAAAGTGGCTGGGTGACTTTGGGCCAATCACCAGGAAATTTCTAGAGCCGTCTGAGGAATGAAAGGCAGCTGGATGACTTTGGGCCAATCAGCAAGGGATATTGAGTTCTAGTCCCACCTCAGGCATAAAAGTGACTCGGTGACTTTGGGCCAATCACCAGGAGACTGGAGTTCTAGTTCTGTCTGAGGCATAAAAGCCTCAGCTGGGTGACTTTGGGCCAATCAGCAAGGGACACTGAGTTCTAGCTCCGCCTCATGCATAAAAGTGTCTGGGTCACTTTGGGCCAATCACCAAGGGACATTGAATTCTAGTTCCGTCTGAGGAATGAAAGCCAGCCAGCTGGGTGACTTTGGGCCAATCAGCAAGGGACATTGAGTTCTAGTCCCGCCTCAGGCATAAAAGTGGCTGGGTGACTTTGGGCCAATCACCAGGAAACTTCTAGAGCCGTCAGAGGAATGAAAGGCGGCTGGGTGACTTTGGGCCAATCAACGAGGGACATTGAGTTCTAGTCCCCGCCTCATGCATAAAAGTGGCTGGGTGACTTTGGGCCAATCACCAGGAATTTCTAGAGCCGTCAGAGGAATGAAAGGCGGCTGGGTGACTTTGGGCCAATCAACGAGGGACATTGAGTTCTAGTCTCCGCCTCATGCATAAAAGTGACTCGGTGACTTTGGGCCAATCACCAGGAGACTGGGAGTTCTAGTTCCGTCTGAGGCATAAAAGCCTCAGCTGGGTGACTTTGGGCCAATCAGCAAGGGACATTGAATTCTAGTTCCATCTGAGGAATGAAAGCCAGCCAGCTGGGTGACTTTGGGCCAATCAGCAAGGGACATTGAGTTCTAGTCCCGCCTCAGGCATAAAAGTGGCTGGGTGACTTTGGGCAATCACCAGGAAACTTCTAGAGCCGTCTGAGGAATGAAAGGCAGCTGGGTGACTTTGGGCCAATCAGCAAGGGATATTGAGTTCTAGTCCCGCCTCAGGCATAAAAGTGGCTGGGTGACTTTGGGCCAATCACCAGGAGACTTCTAGATCCGTCTGAGGAATGAAAGGTGGCTGGGTGACTTTGGGCCAATCAGCAAGGGACATTGAGTTCTAGTCCCGCCTCAGGCATAAAAGTGTCTGGGTCACTTTGGGCCAATCACCAAGGGACATTGAATTCTAGTTCCATCTGAGGAAGAAAGCCAGCCAGCTGGGTGACTTTGGGCCAATCAGCAAGGGACACTGAATTCTAGTCCCGCCTTCGGTCTAAAAGCCAGTCACCAGGCGACGGTGAGTTCTAGTTCCACCTTAGGCAAGAAAGGCAGCTGGGTGACCTTGGCAACAATCTTGCCCACCTCGCAAGGTTGTTGTGGGGGGTGGAAAAAGACAAAGAAGAAATATTAGGTATGTTTGCCACCTTGACTTTAAAAACAATAATAAAGAGGGGATATAAATAAACCCCCTTCCCCCAAAACACAGCAGTAGGCAGGAGTCCCGTCTCCCCCCCCCCCCAACAAAGGGCCAGAGCCAATGAAAGCCAGCCAGCTGGGTGACTTTGGGCCAATCAGCAAGGGACACTGAATTCTAGTCCCGCCTTCGGTCTAAAAGCCAGTCACCAGGCGACGGTGAGTTCTAGTTCCACCTTAGGCAAGAAAGGCAGCTGGGTGACCTTGGCAACAATCTTGCCCACCTCGCAAGGTTGTTGTGGGGGGTGGGAAAAAGACAAAGAAGAAATATTAGGTATGTTTGCCACCTTGACTTTAAAAACAATAATAAAGAGGGGATATAAATAAACCCCCTTCCCCCAAACACAGCAGTAGGCAGGAGTCCCGTCTCCCCCCCCCCCAACAAAGGGCCAGAGCCAAAATAAAAGAAATGCATTTATATTAATTAATTACTTTTAAAGTTGACAGTTCTGATTTTGGTGACCGTCTGGGACTGATCCCTGCAGTTTTCTTGGCATGATTCCCCACCCCACCCCACCCCTGCTTCCTAGGGCTGGGGAAGACTGACGGGCCAGAGGCCAGCCAGCCAGTTTTTGTGCATAAGGCGGGAATGGGATGGGATGGGATAGAAGGGAAGGGAAGGGAGGAGAGGAGAGAGAAAATATGGAATGGAATGGAATGGAATGGAATAGAATAGAATAGAATAGAATAGAATAGAATAGAATAGAATAGAATAGAATAGAATAGAATAGAATAGAATAGAAAATATGGAATGGAATGGAAGAGAAGAGAATGAGAGAGGAGAGGAGAGAGAAAATATGGAATAGAATAGGAATAGAATAGAATAGAATAGAACAGAATAGAAAATATGGAATGGAAGAGAAGAGAATGAGAGGAGAGGAGAGACGAGAGAGAAAATATGGAATAGAATAGAAAATATGGAATGGAATAGAATAGAATAGAAACTATGGAATAGGATAGGATAGAATAGAATAGAATAGAATAGAATAGAATAGAATAGAAAATATGGAATGGAAGAGAATAGAATAGAATAGAAAATATGGAATGGAATAGAATAGAATAGAAACTATGGAATAGGATAGAATAGAATAGAATAGATAGAATAGAATAGAAAATATGGAATGGAAGAGAAGAGAATGAGAGCGGAGAGGAGAGAGAAAATATGGAATAGAATAGAATAGAATAGAATAGAATAGAATAGAATAGAATAGA